AATAGGAAAAAACATTATATCCTTTTAGGAAACACCAACATGGCTGCATGTGAGGACCACAAACTGTTGCTATTAAATAACTTGTAAAAACTTCTTTACAAAGCCCTAACTTAAAGAAAATTTTGCATCAATCTAATAAAAATCCAGTCTTAAGGTTGGAAGGGCTGAGATATACAACTGCTTTCTTGAAAAAAGATGTGAGTTCGGGGGAGGTGGAGAGGTCCCAGGGAAGAAGAGCCATCCTTCACAATGGCATGGTGGGGGTGGGGGGTCTCCTGAGGTCTGGTTTCAACTTGTTCAAACACTCCCCAAGAGTTCCAGGTCCCATTGTGATACTTTTATGGCCACTGATCTATAAAAGAGATTACTTGACTCTGCCCCTCAACTGAAGTCCATGGGGTTGGAACTTTTGGGGACATTCCAGTTTGCAGAGTCTACTGGCAAGGAACCTGTGTCAGGAAACTGCCCAGTCTAGGAGCTGCCTCATCCCTCCTCACCCCCCCAACACATATACCTTCCCCCGGGGTTCTGGCGATCCAGGAGCAGGGTGAAGACACCTTGAAGGAGCTTCCTTTTCCCTTCCTTTGGTGCAAAGAGACCAGGCCCCCGGGAGGCAGTAGTCTCCAATGTGAGAGCAACATAAGAGCAGAACCATGTAGAACTTTTAGGGTGGCCTTGGATCTTTAAGTTTAACCAATCTCCAGTGAGGAGGACCAGCAAAGCCCCATAATGATGAGGCTCAGGGGGCTCTTCTTCCCTATCCTCTACTACCCCCAGCCCTCCCCACCTGAAAGTGCAAGCTGTTCAAGTTTCCACCAGTACATAGGCCCACTTCCCTCTAGGGTAAGCCAACTCTATAGAACACATTCAGTATAATATTTGTAAAGTGCCTTATAGATTATACTTACATTCACTAAAATTTAAGTCTCACAACAAACCTGTGAGGTAGACATTAATGGCCCCATTTACAGCTGAAGAAATTGAGGATCAGAGATCAGGAATTTACTTTTAAGATCACTCATTCCAATAGTGGCAGAACACTGCTAACGATAGCTAATGTTTAACATGTACTAGGTAAATAATGGGCACTAACTCAATGAATCCTCACAACCCTCTGAAATAAGTACTATTATTAGCCCCATATCATATATCTCTTCCTTATTCATTGTTCAGCTTATGCACGCGTATGAGGCGATTGAAAATACCATGGCTTGGGTCAGGCGCACCTTAATCCTCAATGTGACATCTTTGCTTTTTAACACTTTGAAGAGGTCTTTTGCAGTAGATTTGCCCAGTGCAAGAACTGATGCATTTAAATTATGATGCTGGTGAAGAATATTGAATATACCATGCATTGTCAGAAGAACGAACCAATCTGTCTTGGAAGATGTACAGCCAGAATGCTCCTTAGAAGCAAAGATGGCGAGACTTTGTCTCATGTTCTTTGGACATGTTACTGGGAGGGACCAGTGAAAAAGAGGAAGACCCTCAACAAGATGGATTGGCACAGCGACTGCAACAATGTTCTCAAACATAGCAATGATTGTGCGGATGGTGCAGGACTGGGCAGCGTTTCATTCTGTTATACATAGGGTCCCTATGAGTCAGAACTGACTCAATGGCACCTAACATTATAGATAAGGAAACTGAAGCATGAAGAGTTTAAAACCAGCTCCAGATTATTGGAAGAGCATTGTGAGGTTCAAATGAGATATTCATATAATGCAACCAAAATTGCCGGGCATATAGTAAGCACTAAATACATGTTTATTATTCTTATATTACCTTCTTTCATGGAAGTAAGGATGAAAAAATTGAAGTTTGGATTCCAGGAACAATAGGCAGAAGTCCTAGGTGCCCCCTGACCCCGGTGGGTTAGGAAGCAGCAGGGAGCACGTTCTCCAGCTCCCTTGGCTGCCATAGCTCAGAGCTTCCCCCGCATGGAGTCAAGAAGAGTGTATAGTAAAGGCTCCGCAGGATAAGCATTTCCTAACTCTTGCTCCAGCCCCTCCCTGCTATGGCCCACGGCCACCCACATGCCTTTCTTTGGTATTAATAAATGCTCTGGCCTCCAACAGTATCTGATCTCAACTATCGATTAACAGTCACTGACTACTAGTCTCTTTCTCCCTTTGGAAGGCTCATCTTCCCCACCCAACCGGGTAGAGTGTTTTCTGGCAAATGTTATCAACTATTTTGGCCATATAATTAAAAGGCCAAGCTGAGGGAGTGAAGGTGCATCTCTTGGCCTTGTTTTGTCTGCTTCACCAGGGCCCCATGTCTTGGCACTGCCAAGGATGGGCTATAAAATCTGGAAATGCTGTTCAGAACCAATGGAAGGAAAAATCACTTCTGACAAACTAACCCTGGTTTTCTTTACCTTGGAGAACACAATATTCTCATAAATTCTGCCTCTGGAGGCCAGAACTATTCCTCTTTTTACTTTTAACAGAACCCTTGAAGGACACCAGGTGGCAGCCTGGCTCAAGCAAAAGAGCCATCACCTTGGTTTTAGAGGAGCAAAGTTGGAACCTAATTTGTTTAATAAACTGGGGAACAGAACTTTGAAATCTTTTTATAAATGTTGTACATCTTTGGGATGACCAAGAACTCAACGGTGCTGTCAGATCCTCCTTTCCGGCTACCAGGCGTGTATCAGCTACTAAGTCTACCTAGTAATCCTGTATAAATAGAAGTGCTTTCTGATAAACTGCTTCAACAGTCACTTCAAAATCCTAAGTGAAGTTATTGCGTGGGTGGGGGCGGGGAATTGGGGCAGGAGAGGGGACACACTTCAGGTCCAAAAATATGGGAGATGGGGCACAGACCACAAAAGGGAGGGCTTGGAGCAAGGGTTTGGCAGAAAAGCCAATCACTATATGAAGTTTGAGAACTACTGATCCCTAAGAGCTGCAGCATCTCAGTGAAGGATGCAAAGGATGTATTTATTATCAGCCTCATTTTTTTTTTCAAACAGGTGAGGAAATTAGGATAGGGAAGGAAGTGACTTCTTGCCCACATCACACAGCAAACGGCAGAACTGGAATTTGAACCAGAGCTTCCAACTGGTTCATTCTGTTTCTAGCCCCTGCTGAGAACTTGCAAATTCTCAGCAAGGGATCGAACCAGACAGAACTGGGTTGAAGCTCTGATTTGAACCCACTGTTTAACTTCTAGGTTAACAAAGCAAAAGCAGGAATGGGCTAGGTAGGCAGTGATGAGAGGTTTTCAAGTACATATGGGTTAATTCCCCTGCTTCCCTGGTTTTCCCCTATGCTCTGATGCATGCCATCCCATGCCATCGTAAGCAGCAGCAACTAGAGCCAGAACTGGCTTTTCACTGAGTCAAACAGTTGAAGATGGAAAAAACTCGTTGACTAGATAGGGCACAGGGAGTGTGGTGAGTTCTGAAACATGCTCCCACCAGAGCAAAATATTTTAAAGAAAAGGTATTACTTCTGCGATGGTTTTAAAGCCCCATTGCCCATAGGCCTCTCTAGGCCACCCAGAGCCCTAGTGTTCTATAAAATCCAAATTCAAACTTGTCCTTATCTATTTCCTCTACAATACTCACAGGACATCACCTGAGAAATAGAAAGCATATATACAGCTTTTAGCAAGAAACTAGGAAAAAATAAAGTGGGTTATTTGTAGGCCTCGGCTTATTTTTTTACTGTACTGTAGATGGTTTACAGGATTAACTTCTCATTAAACAATCAGTTACACATATTGTCTTGTAACATTGGTTGCCAGCCCCACGTCAACACTCTTCCCTTCTCGACTTTGGGTTCCCATTACCAGCTTTCCCGTCCCCTCCTACCTTCTTATCTTTGCCCCTGGGCTGGTGTGCCCGTTTAGTCTTGTTCTGTTTTATGGACCTGTCTAATCTTTGGCGGATGGGTGAACCGCAGGAGTGACATTACTGACCTAAAACGGTGTCCGGGGGCCATACTTTTGGGGGTTTCTCCAGTCTGTCAGACCAGTAAGTCTGGTCTTTTTGGGGGAATTTTGTTCTACACTTTTCTCCAGCTCTGTCTGGGACCCTGTATTGTGATCCATCAGAGCAGTCAGTGGTAGAAGCGGGGCACCATCTAGTTGTGCTGGACTGAGTCTGGTGGAGGCTGTGGTACTTGTGGTCCATTAGTCCTTTAGACTAATCTTTCCCTTGTGTCTTTGGTTTTCTTCATTCTCCCTTGCTCCGGATGGGGTGAGACCAGTGGAGTATCTCAGATGGCCGCTCACAGGCTTTTACCTCAGCTTTTTTGTTAAGAGCAGAACGCAATCCAGTGCTCTGTATCAAGATAACGTGGGGAAACCCTGAAGTTATTATCCATAATTGAAAATGAGAATACAGATTGGACATATTGTCCAAATAACTGGAAATTCCCCTGCAAAAACTAAACTTACCTAAGCCAAGAGGGCTGAGGTTTCCTCTCCTTTCTTAAAACTACACAGAAAGGATCAGGTTAACAAATCGACCCAGAAACCTTTGTTTTTAAGGCAACATACCCACAGATTAACTATATAATCAGAATAATAAACTCAAGTAGAGAAAGAGTATTTTTTTTCCTTAATGTAGAGTACTGACTGGCATGGGAGTCAGACTTCACCTCAGCTTCAATTTCCTCATCTATTAGAGTGAAAATAAAACTGACTAGCCCATAGAGTTATTGTTACGATTATATACTGAGTCCTTCAACACAGTCCTTCGCATAAAGTGTTCATTAAGTATTATTTTTATACACTTCAGTATGTTTACAACTGGCCCTTAGAGTTCTCTCTCTCTCTCTTCATTCCAAATCTGGTTCCAGTTACGATGAAAGCATAAGAGTTGAGCGAAGTGAGTTGGGCCATAAGCATTTTGACTTGTGCATTCACAGACTGAGAAGCTTCTGAACATTTTGTAAGCTTCAGTGTGTAAATTAGGGCGTTAAGTAAAAAGTGCAAAAAGCTAAGGGGAGGTGAGCTGAGGCAGAAAAAGTACACAGCAAATGTTCATATTCCGTTTGGTTCTTTTTATTAGAAGAAGCTGAGAATATAGCAAGTAGGGAAATCCCATGGTGAATGGAGCCATCACACAGATACCCTTCTGGAATCCAAACCTTCTATGATCCCCAAAAATGTGCTTTGTGGCTTCAGCAATTTATAAATGGGAGGGAGAAAAATACTGAAAAAGGCCACTATTTAATGGTGAAAAGAATGAAGCTGTAGAGGTCCAAACCAGCCTAGGACCAAACAAGAAAATTAAAACTTTGCACAGAGCAAGCAAGCCTCTGACTGCTGAGAGTAAGGCATTCAGGCGCCAACCTGGTGAGAGTTCTCAGCTAGCACTGTAAGACCAAGTGCACAGTGAGGCTGTTGGTAGTGAGCTGCACGTAGACACATACATATAAATGGGTACACACATGCCCACACAGACACATACACCCTAAAGAGAGATTTTTACTGGATTATGCATTGGTGATGTTAATTTCCTTTTTCCTAAAGGTTTGTGCTATGTAGAACCAGATTCAGCTCCTCCTTTGGAGTATAGGGTGACTGGGGCCAGAGACTGCTACTTCCGTTGGTGTTGTTACAGAACTGCACTTATACCGTGTGTGCCCAAGTACATGACCGAAGAGCAAGTCTGGCTTCTGATATGTGCTGTTGCTCCCATGGAACTAAGTGAGCTTCCTTCCAGATGGCCACGGTCCTCCTGGACTCTTTGTTTCCTCAAAGGGATTAATACTGTTCTTTATTTTGTCAGGCACTGCAACAGTTCACCCAGACTTTTGCTCAATCCACCTAGCACCCAAGGCAGTGATCTTTTCCAGAACCAAAATACTCTTTAAGTTCTTCCCAAGTTCTACTATGAATTATTTCTCCCTGGTTCCCAGCTTTTGCTGGAGATTGGAAGGGGAGAGATAGGAGAAAAATAACTGAGAAAATTCTATACTGAATAAACAAGAGACCCTTCCCATATTCCCAAACACTCAGCCCCCATGCTTGGGGTGTCAGTGTTTAGTTCTCATACCCACAATCCCCAGGATGTAACTTGATCACCTGAAGTCTTGGACGATGGTAGCCAAAGACTCAAGTGCTGTTTTAGTCGCCTGCCTGTGAGCCAAGATGAGAATTCTATGAACCAGAGCCTTCCCCTACCACTCCCCTGATACCGTTAACAGGATATCCTCTGGGAGGTGAGCAATCTTTTTTCCTAGCAGCTCTTCAAAGACATAAAGAATTCTACCACACTACCCGGCAACAACCCACCACCTCCCTTTAAACTTCCCACCATGCTCTCTCTGCCAATCCAACAACTCCACAGTGGGTACTGGACTCTGCTTTACAACAATTCTGCCGGTTCTTATTCAAGGAGACCTGACGTGTCTATCACACCTAGACTTACCAAGATAGTATACCAAAGGCAAAACTCATCTTTCCTGTACCAAAGGGAATGGGTTCTCCCAACCTGTGCAAATGAGTTCAAGAGGCACCTGGACAAGTCAGAATCTCTTTTGTGGCTGGCTCCATGCCAAGAACTTTGATGCCAGGGAGAGGTCAATTTATATTCCCAGGAGAAGGAAGGGTACTTACGGCAGTGATTTTAATAGTGGGAAATTTACAGTGTTCCAGAGCTCCACAGTAAGGATATGAAAAACTGGCACAACTCTCCAGAGATCAGAATTACCACAAAATTCAACAGGATGCCAGGAAGTAATCGGATTGGCCCTGTGCTAACACTGCCCCTTAAATGCCAGCATAACTGACCTTCTTAAGTAGGTGGGTGGCTCTACTCCCTACAAAGGGTCTAGAAAACAAGTTAGTCTCTCAAATGGCACCTTTACTAGAGCCTTATCATTTCACATCCTGTTAGCCCTTCACATGCTGCTTCCACTGAGAAAACACATACTGCTTCCCTCTGCCTCACAACTCCCAAAGGTCTCAGCTCTCATGCCTGAGAGTGGTCATGTGATCACTGGGCTGGGGCTATAACCTCTGCCCAATAGGGTCCAAGGTACGTCAGCCTTTGGAAGGCACCTTGGTGAACCAAGGCATTATATATTCTGGGGCTATCACCTGATCCTCCTACAGTTACTTTGTGCAAAATTGAAACAGTGTGTGGTACTTGCATGTTTCATACTATACAAAAATGTTCCCTCCCTCCCGTCCCTATGTTTTAAACATTTATATAAATTCTTATTTAAACAGTAAGTTAGAAATCTTATTTACATTAATTTCTTTGTTCTCCCAAAAGAGTATCTAAAATCACACTCCCACCCCTTAATAGGATATAAATGTTCACCTAAATTGGTTTGTTATTACTGTTTTAAGGAGAGAGAAAGGGAGAAAAAAGAACCACCAGCTAAACTGTTTCCCCATCTTCTACAAATAAATATGATACAGATCAGACGCCAGTTTGCGAAGGGTCTTGCAGAGCCCTCAATCTGTAGATCCAAAAAAAAGTCAGAGTTTGGGCCATTCTCCTTTTCTCCAAATTGATGCACTCCATCCTTTGAGGTATGATTTATTATTATTATTTTTCTCTTCTCAGTCGTGTACCACGTGGAGCCCCTGGGGCATCACAAAGCCCATGAGGCTGTCAAAGTTTTGGGGCTCCTCTGGTACTGGCATCACTGGCCAGTGAGGGAGGCCTGCGGGTGCTGCAGGCCCTGTTCAGGGTCAGTCCCGGCCACTCGTAGGAATCACAGTGCATCCTCTTCACTGCAGCCCCCGCCAATCATGAAGCGGAACTCCTGGAGATTTGAGACACCATGGAAGTGAACGAAAGCTCCAGCAACCACAAAGATGTGAAACAGCTGATGAGAGTGAAACTGGAGACAAAAAAAGGGTGGGGGGTGGAGAAACCCACATATTATTAAAAGTCTGCTAAAGATTCTTAGGATCATTTAATCCTGGTTTATGCTGAGCAGAGTGCAGGGAATGGATGTGACAGCTCGAATTCAAGGTGTCCACAGACCCTGGAATGTCCATTAGGCAGTATCACATTCTGCTGAGTTAGAAGTCAGCTGTCCCCCAAGAAATCAAGGCACTGCTGCTAAGTTCTCTAGACATGAAAATGTGTACATGTATCACTGGAGTATCTGGTGAGCTCAGGCGCAAACGACATACAGACAGACTGTCTTGCTGGCAGACCACACAGAACCCAAAGATACCTTGATGCCTGCCTAGCAGTGGGTTACAGATGGACATAGGGGTTTTTTTCATATTCTTTGCTGATGGACATTTTTGTCCATTCTATGGACGAAAGTACCATAGGATTATTTAAATGTTGCTATTTGTTAAAAGGAGCCCTGGTGATGCAGTGGTTAAGAGCTCAGCTGCTAACCAAAAGGTCAGCAGTTTGAATCCACCAGCCACTGCTTGGAAACCCTATGGGGCAGCAGTTCTAGTCTGTTCTACAGGGTAGCTATAAGTTGAAATTGACTCGATGGCAATGGGTTTGGTTTTGGGTTTTTTATTTGTTAAAAAATAAACGTTTTCAAGGATTGGATGGAGGTCAAAATAAATGGTTCCTAGAGTCTCTTTCAGTTCTATGACTCTGGAATTACATGAAATACATACTACACCTACTCCTCATGTATTGACTATCTTGTTATCTGACTTGTCACACTTAGGACAATAGTAAAAAAATCTATTATCCGACTATTTTGTCCATTAACAACATACAACTGGCAGTAACGAATGCCAAGATGCAAGGCGAGAATAACGCTGGCTGTGATGGTTAAGGTTATGTGTCAACTTGGCTGGGCCATGATTCTCAGTGGTTTGGCAGTTATGTGATGATGTAATCTGGCAGTTATGTAATGATGTAGTCATCCTCCATTTTGTGATCTGATGTGGTCATCCTCCACTTTTGCATAATGCCAGTTTTTGCATAATGTCCTGGTCTCTGGAACCTAACCACATCAGTAAATGAGAAGTAGGTGTATTATCAAAAGATTATGAAAGCAGTACCTTCTACTGCCTTCTGAGGTAAAAAGGTGGTCTATAATCATGTAAAATTTCCAATTTAACCTGTTCTGATGAATGATATTTCACATCTCAACAGACGTAATCAACTGATCACTGCACCAAACATCACTTCAAAAATTATACTGTTCTCTCATTACAGTCTCCAAATGAAACGGCGCAGTGGGAAAACAGCATTTATCAAAGGAAAGACATTGTAGACTAGAAGAACACACAAGTCACATCCCAAGAGATGTTTCCTAGGAAACCAAAGAGAATTAATTTTCCCAATAAAATAGAAAAAGGATAAAAATCCCTTCCTATCAATGTCAAATTTATGAATTAAGGCAATCTCAGAAAGATAAATTAGCTACTGTTAAGCTCCAAATACTGCCTGAGTTCAGCATTATCTTCATTTTACAGACAGCTAAACTAGACATTAAAGGGATTAGATGATTACAGCTTAGCCTATAATAATCAGCAATAGGTTGAGGAACAAAATTCAGAAAGTCAGATTTCACATTAAACAACACTCCAATTCTCTGCTGTTGAAAATGTATTATGGAGAGACGGGGCCAAGATGGCAGGGTAGTCAGATGCTTCCTGTGGTCCCTCTTACAACAAATACCCTAAAAAACAAGTGAATTGATTATATATCACAATCTAGGAGCCCTGAACATTAAGGGCAAAGTTGAGGAATTGGACTGAGCGGCAGGGGAGGGAGAGACAATTCAGAAGCAGCGAGTTGCCAGACCTGACCCAGTGGGAGCTGGCATCCTTCAGGCTGGATCGGCTGGTGTGCACGGTGAGGCAAGCAGTGGCGCTCAGGAAGCATTTTCCACATCAGAAGAGATCCAGCGGCAGAGAGTCTACTCATGCCTCCAGAACTGGTGAAAAGCGGCACTCAACTGGCATGGATCCAAAAACACCCCCTTTGGGAAAAACCTCTCTCCCATTTACCTGCCCCCCTCCCCACTCTGCACCAGGTCCTGGGCCAGCTTCAGAAACTGCCGAGTCCCCTGGGCTGGAAGTAGGACCCATCATGTGCCCTGAGCCATTCTCCTGGCCTAGGAGACAGAAAAAATTAACAAATAGGAAAAAATATTCTGCCAGCTCCCCGATGCTAGGAACTTAGAGTAGGCACAGCTCCTTTGCCTAGACATAGGCATAAGGGGTCCACGGATTGTGAATGCTTTTCACCCCTGCATAGACCTGTGTGGGCCCATTTCAACAGTGGAGGTCCTCATTACCACAGTACAACAGGGTATATACCTGAAGTCTATATTCAACTGTATCAGCTATTGGTGAAGTGGCAGGTTCATGACATTTGACACTGCTCTGACCATTAAGCAGGGTCCTCACTTACCCACGTCAGGGGCCTGAGGACTGGTGGCTCCACCCACACCACGTAGCCACTCGCAACAGGGGTCCAAGAATAAGTGGTGCCTGCCAGTTCTTACACCCAACAGCACTGGGTACCCACAGTCTGGCTGCAAAACCCACCTACCTACATGCTCTAGGGAACCAGAACACGTTTTCCTCCCAGACACTCAGGGGCAGCCATCAGCCCCCTGCCTTGCTCCATGCATGACCCCCTACTGCAGCCAGATACCTGTGCCTGCACCAATCATTCCTGCCTGTCTAGGACTGTAGGTGAGAGACTGCACCACACACTTGGTGACCAACTACCTGGACACCTGAGCTGAATCCATACAAGAAAAGTAAATGGACTCCTGGGCTCACATACCTAGTAACAGATCTAACCACCTGGTGACAGGACGTTAGAGCTTCAAAGGTGCCAATAATCAAACTGCTCACACAAGCAGCCTATTTGGGCATATCAAAACAAAACAAAACAAGAAGCTAGGATACAAGCAAACATAAAATAAATAAACATAATACTTATTGATGGCTCAGAGACAACAATCAATATCAAATCATGTAAAGAGGCAGACCATGATGGCTTCAGCAAGCTCCCAAAATAAACAATCAAGAAATTTTCTGGAGGAAGAGAACTTCTTGGAAATACTGGAGGTAGAATACAAAAGATTAATATACAGAACTCTTCAAGAGATCAGGAAGGAGATCCATCAAACCGCAGAACAAGCCAAGGAACACAAAGACAAAGCAAAAGAGGAACTCAAGAATATTAGAGAAGAGCATAATGACACATTTAACAGGCTGCAAGAATCCAGAGAGACAGGTAACAGAAATCCAGAAGATCAACAATAAAATTTCAGAATTAGACAACTCAAAAGAAAGTTATAGGAGAAGAATTGAGGCAATGGAAAATGTATTATGCCCTCGTTAGTTATACAATTTTCCATCTATCAGTCCCTAAAATATGTTCTTTTCGCTCTTCCCTCCTCTCTTAGCATTAACCACAATCCAGTTATCTCAACTTTTTCTTTCAACCAAACACACATATACGAAGTCGATCTCTCAATACAAATCACTGAATTTTGGTATCAAGAAAAGACCTTGGTAAAAATACGGTGCATCGTGCTCATTTCATAATGAGAAATTTTCTCATTTCAAAATGAGAAAACTGAGGCAAAGAATAGCTAAATGCTTGCCCATGTAGTGTAATAAAAAGGAGCAGAGACTTGGATATTAAACAGACCTCATTCAAATTACAGTTCCACCACTTAATAGCTGTGTACCCTTGTGTTACCTAACCTAACTTCCCTAAACCTCAGTTTGCTAATCTGTAAAATAAAGTCAATAATACTTATTATACCACATAGGGCAAATGTATTAAACGAGGTAACTCGTGTAAAGCGCTCAGTACTGTGCCTGGGACCAAGTAAGTGCTCAAGGAATGTTATTATTTTACACATTGTCCAGAGACACACAGCTTGTTAGGGACAGAGTTAATTTAGTACTAGAATACAAGTCTCTCAACTTTGAATCTAAAACTTTTTAAATTACATCACTTCCCTGTCTACCAACTAACAGATATGTATACACACTTAATCACTCCTGTTCATACTTACCCAGATGTCACATTTGCCAGGAAAGAAGCGTTCAGGAATCCGGGCAGCATACAGGGCAGCTCCCGTGATATAGAGGCTGGCCATCAGCATCAACCAGCCTATCTGCCCTATGGTGGCAGCCTTCAGGAATCCCTCAGAGATGACATAGTGCAAGGTAGGAATGATTCCACTCAGGCCTAGGCCCAAAAATACTCCTAAGAATCACAAAATAAAAATAAAGCAAAAATACAAAAGAGAAATAATGAAGAAAAAGTCAATATTATAACACAGAACCATTAACTCTGAAAGCTGACTATTTCAAAGTAGGATGCAACATTAGTTTCCTGTCTGGAAAGAAAAGAAGGTTCTTCCTACTCTGGGACACACACACAAGACAGCACAGCTATGTTCCAACAGATCAGTTTATAAATCCAAGGACCCTCCTGCTGAGAGAGATTTAGCTTAACAACTCAGCAGTCCTCAAAGGGTTTAGAATTATGTTGCTAAGTGTTTTAAGAAAGGACAGCACCAGGAGTTTGTTTAAAACTCCCTTAAGGTTGCCTCTTTACAGACACAGATTACAATAAAAAGCAATTTTACATATTTTATCTTCTCTTTGAAGCAACAGACCATAGGAGGCCGGGGGGAGTGTGTGAGAGTGGAAGGGTGGGGGAGGCAATGATCAGACAGATAAACCAGGAAAATCAGGTGATGCCATAAAGCTACGATACTTTTAACAGTAATCTAAACATATGGCCTGTAATTGGGCATTTAAAATAAAAATTTTAAAATGTTCTGAACAACTGACCCAACTTGGGTGGGGGTGAGGTAGATACTGCACTGAGTAAGATGACAAAGGCAGTGAATGAAAGACATGTGATTCTGAAAGCTTCACAGTCTTCGCTTCCTGGCCAAAAAGCAGCAATCAGGGACAGATCTGTCAGAATGACTGAGCCACAGCCCTAATGCCTTCAAAATTATTTTAAGCAGTATTTTTTCAAACTTCCAGATATGACCAAGGCTGCAAGATCAACTAAGTAAGTCTCAATCAGCGTTTCTTTCTTTGTTTTTAATAAAATAAAGTAGAAAATATCAGACTGTGTCACAAGTGGAGGATTATCACTTCATGAAAACATTTGTAATTTATATATATATATGAATTTATGTACACACTCACACATTTAGAGTTGTAATAGAAAATGTCATAATTTAAAAAAATTTAAATGCCACTGATCTAAAAAAAAAACTGTGAAACTTGTGTGTTAACCACAGCAACACAGAACTTCAAGGAGCCAGTAACTGCTCCTGCATTTTGACACACTGAGTTAAGAATGACTCTTGCAAAACAAGCTGCCATTTGGTAAGCTTTCTCAACAGACAAGAAACTAATTATATTTGCTTTGGACATTACCAAATAAGGTGCTGGTATGCAACAATATATGTATGTACACATACAGACATGCATACTCATAAATAAAATGGGCATCTAAAAGAGAGGAGGACTGGAAATAACAAATGTTGGAGAGGCTGCGGGAAGATCAGAACTCTTAAGCACTGCTGGTGGGAATGCATAATGATACAACCACTTTGGAAAATGATATGGCGCTTCCTTAGAAAGCTACAAACAGAAATACCATACAATCCAGCAAGCCCACTCCTAGGAATATATCCTAGAGAAATAAGAGCCATCACACAAATAGACATATGCACACCTATGTTCACTGCAGCATTGTTCACAATAGCAAAAAGATGGAAACAACCTAGATGCCCATCAACAGATGAATGGGTAAACAAACTATGGTACATACACACAATGGAGTACTATGCAACAAGAAAGAACAACGATGAATCTGTGAAGCATCTCATAACATGGATGAAACTGGAGGACATTATGCTGAGTGAAATAAGTCAGTCACGAAAGGACAAATATTGTGAGACCTCTATTGTAAAAACTCATGAAAAAGTTTACACACAAAAAGTAACAACCTTTGTTGGTTACGAGGGATGGGAGGGGTGGGGGAGAAATACTAAATAGACAATAGGTAAGTGGTAACTTTGGTGAAGGGTAAGACAGTACACAATACTGGGGGGAAGCCAGCACAACTTGTACAAGGAAAGGTCATGGAAGCTCCACAGACACATCCAAACTCCCTGAGGGACTGAATTGCTGGGTGGAGGGTTGCGGGGACTATGCTCTCCGGGAACATCTAGCTCAATTGGCATAACACAGTTTATAAAGAAAATGTTCTACATTCTACCTTGGTTAGTGGCATCTGGGGTCTTAAAAGCCTGTGAGCAGCCATCTAAGATATTCCACTGGTCTCACCCAGGAGCAAGGGAGAATGAAGAAAACAATACAAGGAAAAGATCAGTCCAAAGGACTAACGGACCACAACTATCACAGCCTCCACCAGACTGAGTCCAGTACAACTAGATGATGCCCAGCTACCACCGACTACTCTGACAGGGATGACAAATGAAGGTCCCAGACAGAGCTGAAGGAAAATGTAGAACAAAATTCTAACTCACAAAAAAGACCAGACTTACTGGCTTGACAGAGACTGGAGAAGCCCCAAGAGTATGGCCCTGGACACCCTTTTAGCTCAGTGGTGAAGTCACTCCCGAGGTTCACTGTTCAGCCAAAGATTAGACAGCCCCATAAAACAAAACGAGACTAATGGGGCACAACAGTCCAGGGACAAGGACTAGAAGGCAGAAGGGGACAGGAAAGCCAGTGATAGGGAACCCAAGGTTGAGTAAGGACAGTACTGACATGTAGTGGGGTTGCTAACCATTGTCATAGGGCAATATGTGCACTAACTGTTCAGTGAGAAATTATTTTGTTCTGTAAACCTTCATCTGAAGTGAGAATAGCAGCACAACTGGAAGAATGTAATCGACGTCACTGAATTATACATGTAGAAAATTTTTGAAATGGTATATCTTTGGCTATGTGTATTTTCATCCAAAAAAAAAAAAGAAAAAAAAAAAGGTCCTCCAAGGTCGAGAACGGAGAGTGTTGACATGTCATCAGGTTGTTAACCAATGTCATAAAACAATATCTGTACTGACTGTTTAATGAGAACTATTTGTTCTGTAAACCTTCACCTAAAGTACAATTAAAAAAAAATTTTTTTTTAATAAATAAAAGAGAAGGAAAGTGAAAATGCTAACATCACAAAAAGACAAGAACCAAGCAGGCATAAATAAAAAATACTTCCTACCTCTACTTGGGGTGGCCATGAGTTGGAATTGACTTGAAGGCAATAACAACTCCTCTCTAATGAAAAATTACCACGATCCTGTTCTTTCACTTGTTCTTTTCCTCTACATGTTAAGCAAAGGCTATTAATGGTCTTGCCTATCATTTGTTAAGTCAAAGACTCAGGAACTTGGTTCCTCTGATGTATATAAATAGGAGAATGCTCAATTCTACTCACCAAGGTTCTTAGAGCTCATGTGCTCAAACAGGCTTAACACCACCAGTTAAGTACTACTGAAAGCCAACCCTAAGCACTGCTCATTTGGCCATATGAACACTTTAAAAAAACGACTAAACACACAAAACGACAAATATTGTATAAGACCACCATTGTAAGAACTTAAGAAAGGGTTTAAACACAGAAGAAAACATTCTTTGATGGTTACGAGGGTGGGGAGGAAGGGAGAGGGGTATTCACTAACTAGATAGTAGACAAAAACTATCTTAGGTGAAGGGAAGGACAGCACACACTACAGGGGAAGTCAGCACAATGGGACTAAACCAAAGCTAAGAAGTTTCCTGAATACAATCAAACACTTCGAGGGACAGAGTAGCAAGGGCGAGGGTTTGGCGACCATGCTTTCAGGGGACATCTAGGTCAACTGGCATAATGAAGTTTATTAAGAAAATGTTCTACATCCTACTTTGGTGAGTGGCGTCTACGGCCTTAAAAGCTAGCGAGCGGCCATCTAAGATACGTCAACTGGTCCCAACTCACCTGGAGTAAAGGAGAATGAAGAATACCAAAGCTACAAGGAAAGTATTAGCCCAAGAGACAGAAAGGGCCACATAAACCAGAGACGGCATCAGCCTGAGACCAGAAGAACTAGATGGTGCCTGGCTATCACCAGTGTCATGGATTGAATTGTGTCCCCCAGAAATATCTGTCATCTTGACTGGATCATGATTCCCAGTATCATATGATTGTGTAATCTGATGTGATTTCCTTATGTGTTGTAAACTCTATCACTATAATGAGATTACATGTGATCTCCTCATGTGTTGTAAATTCCATCACTGTGATGAGGTTATACTGATGAGGTTTATGAGACTGGATAGTGTCTTAATCCAATCTCTTTTGAGATATAAAAGAGAGAAGCGAGCAGAGACACATGGGAACCTCACACCACCAAGAAAGCAGTGCCAGGAGCGGAGCGCGTCCTTTGGACCTGAGGTTCCTGCGCTGAGATGCTCCCAGACCAAGGGAAGACTGATGCATCACAAGGACTTTCCTCCAGAGCTGACAGAGAAAGAAGGCCTTGTCCTGGAGCTGATGCCCTGAATTTGGACTTGTAGCCTACTGGACTGTGAGAGAATAAACTTCTCTTTGTTAAAGCCATCCACTCATGGTATTTCTGTTAGAGCAGCACTAGATGACTAAGACAACCAATGACCACCCAGACAGGAAACACAACAGAGTCCCTGATGGAGCAGGAGAAAGGTGGGGTGCAGAACTCAAATTCACTTAAAAAGACCAGACTTAACGGTCTGAGACTGGAGGATCCCCAGAAAGCATGGCCCCTGGACTCTCTGTCAACCCAGAACTAAAACCATTCCTGAGGCCAACTCTTCAGACAAAGATTAGACTGGACTACAGGACATAAAATGATACGCGTGAAGAGTGTGCTTCTTAGCTCAAGTAGATACATGACTAAATGGGCAGCTCCTGTCCGGAGGTGAGATGAGAAGGCAGAGAGGGTCAGGAGCTGGTTTAATGGACACATGAAATCAGGGGTGGAAAGCAGGAGTGTGCTGTCACAGTACAGGGAGAGCAATTAGGGTCACATAACAATGTATGTATAAATTTTTGTATGAGAGACTAACTTGAATTGTAAACTTTCACTTAAAGTACAACAATTAAAAAGAAAAAGGACTGAACATAAAGTTAATTCTACGTCTGATCTTCTAGGTAAGTGCAGATGAACTGCAGTTTGGGGTGAAAGGAAAAATACTCCTTTTGATACTGCTTGTTCATTCTCAGTAGGCACTGGACTGACAATGGAAATAGAAAGTTGAAGATACAGCCCTGCTTGCAAGGAGCCCCCAGTCCAGTGAGACAAAAATATCTTTCTGCTAACTCCATACTCCTACAGGGAAGTCTCCACAAAGAGACTTCTGGCTTTCCACGTGATCTCTGGTTAAATCGGCATCATCTTAAATATAAAAAGCCCCTTTATCCCTACATCAGAAGTGGTGTATAATGTCTACTTTAGTAGAACACAATCAGTATGTGGTGGTCTTAATTACACAATTACACATTTTAAAACAAAAATACAAAATCAAACAAAAAATAACAAAAAGAACCAATCACTACAAAAATACACTCCAACCTGTGAGTAAAAGGAATTACTGTTTATTTTATAAAAGTTATAGAGCCATCAACTTATGGACATTGTAAGGTCATAAACTCCAGTAAACTATACTGACCAAAATATATCAGAATTGTGTAACACAGATCACCACCGCCCCTCAATCCTTGTACTTTAAGACAACTATTAAACACTTACCACTACATTAAATACCCCTTGAGGACAGGAACTATGATTTATTCATCTTAGCATCACAAGCAGATAGGATGCCTGGCAAATAAATGACTGGTGAATAAATGAGCATCCAATATAAAATCTCCACATGCTCTTACCTGCTCTCACTCCCCGATATTGAGGAGTAGCAAACATGTCCCACTGGGAGACGATAATGGCTGCAATGCCCAGCACACAGATGACAATCAAATAGATGAAGCAAGGTTGTGGGTTACAATAGAAAGAATAATAAAGCCAAGGAACAAAACTTCCCATAATCAGAAGAGCAATACCAGAGTAGTCCAGTCTAGGATTTAAAAAAAAAAAAAAAATCCATTTAATGCAAAAAATTCCTGCCCACAACAGGTTCCAATTAACTCCCCATGATGTGAGCTATCAATAACAACTAAGAGGCAAACTGGGTTGCTTGCTTTAATTATTATATGTTTAAAAAAAAAAAAAGTCTCTCATCAAATGGCATCAAGAATTCTGCCAATCTGCTGGATGCTTTTCCCTAACCCAATGACTCCAAATCACTGATCCAAATGTAGACTTTACAGATACTTACTTAGAGAAGAGCCGGGAGACCCCTTCTGAGTGGCAGTAGACTGTGTGGAAGAGCCATGAAAAAGAAAGGCAGAGAATGGCCCCCAAGAAGAATAATCCAAAGACCACCTTCTCTTGCAGAGGGGCCACAAAGGAGATGTTTGGGCGAAACATATAAAAGATCCCCAGGCACAGGAAGAATACACAACCTAGGAAAGAAGTACATGGGAGGGATACAGATCATCCTTTTGAAGAGACAGCATTATGCTTTCAATCCTTCACAAAACCAAAAGCATACTGCCACTGAGTCGATTCCAACTCATAGCGCCCCTCAATTGCAGTGATATCTGAATCGGAAGTTCCATGAGAATAAATTTTCCAAATAACTGAAGTTTATCCAAACTTCTATTTTACTTCAAACACTGCTGGTATCATATACATCCCAGCTCCAGAAACTCTGAGTACACAGAACACAATAAACTATTTATGTATGTAAGAGCATGATCCAAAGAAATCAGACAGTGCTGCTACTTCCTAGAAGACTGAATGAATCCTCTTCTACCTCTAGATTTAGTATGAAATTTCATTTACAAAGTTTCTGGCACATATGCTGTAGCCCAGCTTTCAAAGGTCCATTTTGCTTTTGCTACTGTGATTAATCTCAATACCCTCAAACTGCCAAGAAATACTGCTTTCCTCCACCATAGCAGTCAAGGAGCATTATGCTTCCCTGGTCCTCACCAGCTGGTCCAATAGACTGAAAGAACTAAGGAGAGTAAAATGCCCATTCAGGCTATTTCATACCCAGTTCTTAAACTGTTCTTTTCCATAGTAAGATACTTCTTATTGCTCAGGGAAGGGCCACTCAACACAAGGAAGGTACAGAAATTAAAAAGTTAACATCTGCTAAGTGATTCTGTTTTATGCATTTAATGAAACACTTACCTTGGAGTTAGAAGTTAGCAACAAACTTGATTTGATTCTCTAATTCTATTCTCACTATACTAATGGGCAGGAAATTGGGGGTACAGTGGAAATCAAATGTGAGACAACAAATGCAGGTCAAATGAGGTCAGGCCAGGAACTATTTAGTATATTCACATGGTTGTACAACCACTGCCGTCATCTAACTCCAGAACATTTTCATCACCCAAAAAAGAAACCCTGTACCCATAACAGTCACCATATTCCTCTCCCCCTAGCCCCTGGCAACCACTAACCTACTTCCTGTTTCAAGATTATTCCATGTTGTAGCATCAATCAGTACTTCATTCCTTTTATGGCTGAATAATATTCCATCATATGTATATCCCACATTTTGTTTATCCAGTTTCTGTCTATGGACATTTGGGATGTCTCCACTTTTTAGCTATTATAAATAATGCTGCTATGAACATTTGTATACACATTTTTGTGTGAACATGTTTTCAGTGTTACTGGGTATTTACCTAGGAGTGAAATTGCTAGGTCATATGGTAGCTCTCCGTTTAACTTTTCGAGGAACTACTGAACTGTTTTATGTTTTACACAGGGGCTGCACCGTTTTACATTACCACTAGCAATGTACGAGGATTCCAACTTCTCCACATCCTCTCCAACACTTGTTATTAGCTGTCTTTTTATTACAGACATCTTGGTGGGGGTGAAATGGTTATCTTATTGTGTTTTGATTTACATTTCCTTGATGGATAATGATGGACATCTTTTTATGTGCTTACGGGCCATTTATGTATCTTCTTTGGAGAAATGCCTATTCCTATCTTTTGCCCATTTTTTAAATGGGTAATTTATCTTCTTATTATTGAGTTGTAAGAGTTCTTTATATATTCTGGATACTAAACCCTTATTAGATACATGGCTTGCAAATACTTTCTCCCATTCTGTGGGTTGTCTTTTCACTTTCTCAATGGTGTCCTTTGATGTACAGAAGTTTTTTATTTTGATGAAGTCTATTTATCTATTTTTTTCTTTGGTTGCTTGTGGTTTAGGTATTGTATCTAAGAACTATTGCCTAGTCCAAGGTCACAAAGATTTACGACTATGTTTTCTTCTAACAGTTTATAGCTTTTGAGCTAATTTTTGTACATGGTGTGAGCTGGAGTCCAACTTCACTCTTGTGCATGGAGATATCCAGTGGTGCCAGCATCATCTATTGGAAAGACTATTCTTTCCCCACTGTATTCTTTCTTTAATATCCAATCATGGTGTGGGAAAAAAGTTACAGATCACATTCTACTTCAAGTCATATTTAAATTTAACTGTGAATATTCTAAGTAATGACTTTAAAAATCAGCTTATTTCTATTAAATAACTACCTTCATCTCAGTGCTCATTAAAATATACCACATTTTATAGAGAACCTTTTCTTCTGCTTGGTTCAAGGACAGTAATTCCTGAAAACCCAGTGGAGAAAAATATGATTTAGCTGTAATGAAACCACAGTAGAAACTAGGATAACTACAGAGTAAACCTGTGAGAATTTTCATCATTAGAACTTCAGAAAGCAAAACGGTAAATCCCAAATATATTTTTCTTAGTTCTGTCCTTATCCTGAAACACATGAAAATAAAAAGGAATAAAGTGAATCACCATTCATTATACAGTTGATATTATATACCTAAGAGATGTGTCCAGATGTTGCCTGTCTCTGTGTGTATTCTGAAAATGCTCTTAAAACAGGCCCGGAAAGAAGGCATGGGGGGCCGATGTCCATGTAAAAGGAAGTCGTTATCCTTGAGCCAGTCTGGTAGTACATCATGAGGGATTACTCGCCATCGACCTTCCCATACCTGGAAAGAGAAGAATACTATCAAACATCTTTGTGGCTTTAATTGTCAACTCTACAACACTGGTCCCAAACAAATGTCTCTTACCACACAGTTTTACAACAGGAAAAATAACTGATTTTTTAAAACGCGAATACATTTGAAAAGTATAATGTCCTATATTCTCAGTCCTTAAAAACAGACCAATGAAAAAGATGTTTTAAAATTGGGAGTGTTTTCTTAAGAAAAGGAAATAATAAGCAAACTTACAGAATATGCCCTTTAGAATGGTTTCAAGCTTTGTTATAATCTGGCTAAAGGTGGAGTGAGGGTAATAAATAAATAAATGGGCTGTTAAAAAAAAAAAAAAAAGGTGGAGTGAGGGATCCCATGTCCCCGCCCATACAGACCCCTCCCTCATCCTCTAGAACAGACTTTACTTCTGAAAAGCCCCTGTAGTATTAATTATGATCATTTTTATATTTTATACACCTTTTGTGGAAAAAGAACTATACAGAATCACACATTTGTACCTTTTGCTAAAATCTGTCCTTCCCCTTACTCCTTCTCTTCCCACTACTGCAAATGCAATGAAGTAGAAAAAGAGGACAGGAGTCAGAAAATCTTGGTCTCTGCCATTAACTAGTTGTATGAGCTCTGATTGATCACAAAATCTCCAAGCCTCAGTTTCCTCATTTACAAAAAGAAGATGATAGTGCTTCAATTACTTCATAATGAAGGGTCAGATAATACAAAGTACTTTATAAATGAGTTAGCAATCTCTAGCATCCACTCCAAAGGTGGTATGTAATCCTGACCATCCCCAGAGGCTATCATCTGTCTAAGAGTTAGTAATTAATCCACCCTTCTTCTCATGCTGGAGAGATGTCAAAGAAGCTTGCCCTTAACTGCCCTTCAAGTCCCTTAGCCACCTTGTCTCCCTTTTCCTTGCTGTTTCTCTCCCGTTAGGAGAAAAGGAATCAAGGGCTGGATATCCCCCGCTTAGAAAGTTTTTTCAACTTCAGTGCTCTGCTTTTTTTAATGTCTCTCAGCCCAGAGTTTACACAACAAGGATCACTTAATACTGAACTAACCTGCTTCCACTAGCCAGTTAATAACATGATCTTAGCAGTCCTTCCAGTCTAGTACCCTATAAAGCAAGAATCCACGCTACAAATTAATAGACTTTGTCTTCAGACAATGAGCCCCCTCCCCTAACCCCCCAGAAGACTTGTGACAAACATGCCCAAGCCACAGAAACTTGACTCTCTCTCTACCACAAAGAAAGACTGCCACTGCTCACTACCTACTGTACCCACTCCTTTCACTCCACAACATTTTCCAGTTCTCTGCTCTCCTTAATCCTTCCTCACTGACATTTGCAAAAGAACTAATCCTCTGTAATACTTCCTCCACCTCCAAATGAAGTGAAGATTAACAATTTAAAAACAGATATGGCCTTCCTAACACCCCATCAGAGCCCTGGTAGAGCAGTGGTTAAGAGCTCGGCTGCTAATCAGAAGGTTGGCAGTTCGAATCCACCAGTCGCTCCTTGGAAACTCTACGGTGCAGTTCTACTCTGTCCTATAGGGTCACTATGAGTCGGAATCGACTTGACGTCAACAGGTTTGGTTTTTTGGTTAACACCCTTTCAACACACACACACACACACACATTCATATTCATTTCTTATTCATTCTGTCTCCCTTCTGCCCTCCCCCAACTCAAGATCTGGGGCCTATCTTTGCTGGGGCTAATCTGGCCATTCCATGTTTGCTCCTAACATACAATAAAATAATACCAAAAGATTAATCTAGATTTTTAACGTCTACCGCTAATGAACAGCACCACCACTTGCAAAAGGAACTTTATGAGATCTTCCACAGGACTTTCTGGATAGAAAAGAAAGATGTCAAAATACTGAATTTTTTTTTACCCACTTTGAACTTGGAAAACATAGTCTTTGTTGAGATTAACCTTACAAAATGCTACTACTTTGTTTTATTTTGGGAGAAATTTATTTTCTGAGAGAGAGGAAAATAGAAACATAATCCTTACCTCCTCAAGGCAGCTCACAATATACAAAAAGCTAGGCTGTGAGCATATCAAAAGTGCTATTATGCTACCACACACAGCCAAAATAGTCAAATGCTCCCTTTTCATAGTCAGAAGAAATTATGTTGACTTTCTGACTAGTTATATATGTATTTAATGTCAGAGTGATGATTCCCACCCCAACTTCTAAACAAACATTCTAGTCTAAATACTCTGCTAAAGAGTTGTACTTTCATGACTGTCCTACAATTAGTGACACATTCAACAGACACTGTACTCTCATTCTCAACTTGGAGTCATATACAGCCAGTCAAATGCCAACACAAATAGGTATCCTCTTTTACCCACGAGAAAAAGGAATAGGATCATAGCTTAGCCAAAGCCATACTTATAAGCTCAACAAAGACACTTCCTAAACCAAACATCTTAGCAATGAATGGCCCACTAGGTTTGTATTAGACCATAAAATGCACAACAGATTAAAAAATAAACTAAGAAAAAAACTAACCACGGCACATCGATTTCCCCACTGGCCTGGCTACGATGGTGAAATAGCAAAAATTGAAGGCTAGAAAAGGAGAGATGAAGATTAAACTGGGAAACTCTGAAGACTAAATGATTTTATTTCTTCTAATCCTGTAAGAAAACCTTTTCCAAAAAGGAAGGTACACCATCCAGGCCATGTCACACCTCCTTTTGAACTCTTGTCTGTTTATTGCTTCCAATCCACGAATCCTTTTGTCACTAGACTTGGCTACTTTTCAAGTACGGTCAGTTGCACTGCCACACCAGGGTGGAGCATCTGCTTTCATAGGCAAACTGCTAGGAGGTAAGGGAGTAGTAGTAATTTTGAACTCCACTCATTTTTCTTTAGTAAATCAGTTTGTAGCAAACAAATGCTCCATTTATTCTTCCACTAGCTGTTAAACTGAAAGTTTTCTTTGCTTTATTTTTTGCTTTTAGTACACAGAGGACAAAAAGGCAATCAAGTCAGCTATAGTACACCACTGGTCTATAAATATTAAAAATCTCTTATGATCAAGACACTAAATAAACAATTTGAGATTTCAGAACACCAAATTTGCCTTTAGAAAAATGAAATATATCTTTTGTTTCCCTTTGTACTAATACTCCTGGAAGATTTCTATCTAGAGTAGTTTAACCCACAGACCTATTAGAATAGGTCTGTTTGCCTGGCTTTTTCTTCACCAATTTTCAAACACTGAATGAAATCTCCTGGGCTCTGTGTGCCCACAAACTTTTATAAACCCCACCACCACTATCACCCTTGGAAAGGGTATCTATGTTCAGATCACGTTTTCTTCTCCCCTGGTCCAAAAGCTGGCTCCAACTATTTCCAGCATCATTGTGAATATAGGAAAATCTACATTTAGTTTTCAAGATATAAGAGCACATGCATTATTAAAAAGTCTCAGATTCATAAAACCCGTGAAAAAGCTAAGTGTCACAAAAATCTCATCTAAATGATTAAGAGTTCACCAGAAATGTTTAATAAATGAATTTATATATACACACACACACAGAGACAGACTATGTTGACTTGATATCATACCTACCAGGGCCCCTTTAACCCTACTGAACAGATTAATCAAGTGGCTATAAATTTGCCAGTGTCCCTTACTATCTTCTCTATTATTATTACCAGTTGCCGTCAAGTCGATTCCAACTCATGGCGACCCCATGTGTGTCAAGAGTCGAACTATGCTCTATGGGGTTTTCAATGGCTGACTTTTTTGGAAGTAGATCGCCAGGCCTTTCATCCTTTTTTTAAAAAAAATTTCTAGAAAAGCAACCTCAATTCTGGTCATCATCTTAGGGGTAAAAAATATATATGTATATATACATCTCCCACAATAAGTCCTGATGAATCAGACAATGAAGTGGAAGAAATATCTTGGAGGTAGAAAATATACCAGCTGAACCGAAAATACTGTGTATACGAACTGGGAAAACTGGAAGATTTCTATCTAGAGTTGTTTAACCCACAGAATCGCTAGAAAGAATAGCACATTTGCCATCATAGTCAAATAAACAGTAGACTAAACTCCAAGGACTTGGAAATAGCATTTTAACATCCCCTCTAAGTCTAGGCATCAACTATCCCCAGCAGTTTTGTTTCATCCTGTCTTATCTAAACTATCAACAAGACATTAACTGAGGAAAGACTTGTTTTCCAATTCGGTATTTTAGTTTTATCAAAACTGTATCACGTCTGCTCCAGACAAACAAATGTATTGTGCCTGAATGGGTTAAAGTCACAAGACTGCCTCTGCCCCCATTTTGCCACAGACTATCCCCAAAGCAAACCAAAGTCTAAGGAACTACTGTTCTCTTTAAAGGTTTCTATTGGGGAAGGACTAAATATATAGCATTGAAATGACAAGAAATTGCCCTCTTACCTTACAAACAAACTCTTCCATTCTTTCCATGGCATGATGGGCTTGTAAGAGAGGGGACATGCCCATAAACCTCTCATCTTCCTGAGAGGCTTCATCATTGCACTCATGTTCCTCAGAACTCTGCAAGGCAATCACAGAAACAGTCAGGAACAGAGACTAGAGTCAATGAAACAATCAACACACAGAATTATAATGAAATTCTCATAAGGTCAAAACAAGGCCTTGGAGAAGTATCACCAACATAGGAAGTAAAGTCAATTTATTATAGAATTACGAGTATTAAAAGATGAACAATAGTTACCAAAGTCTCCTGAAAGACAAATAATCAGTCTACTACAACAGCATCCCTATGTTCTGTTTCAGTAACAAATTCCTGGGGTAACTTTATTGCTTCTTGTTTTGATAATTATTTTCAAAGACCACATAATAATATTATAAATAGTTGAGAAATTACTGAAGAGAAAATCTCTAAGAATCCTACCACCTGGCACATATAAAATAAATAATTATAATACAGTGTGTAAGTGCTATGGAGGCAAAAGAAGGAAAAGAGAGAAGTAACATTTAGTAAATTTGTAACATGCCAAGCACCAAGAAAAGAAGTTATCTAACTTAATCCTTAAACCATCTTGTTAGATAAGTATTCTTAACCCTATTCAACACATAATAACATTAGGCAAAGAGGTTATTATATAAGTTGCCCAAGGCAGTCTCCAACTTAGGATGTATTCGACGTATTTACAGCAAACCACACTTAAGACGATCTTTTTTTTTTTTTTTGGTGTATCTTATCATTAGTAATATGTAATACATACGATGTTGCAGTGTGTAATTTGCTGATGTTATCATTCACAGATGTTCACTTGCAGATGTTCAAAGACACAATTGGATTTATAAAGATACTGATAATAAAAGGCAATAATAATGAAGACTAAAAAAAGGTACTCAACTTACATCAGAACCGACTCATGATGGAATCATCCAAACAGAACCCCATCCTAAGTCAGGGACTACCTGTACTTGCAGTTGGATCCATAGAGGATTACTGACAGAAAAAGGTAAGCCAAACTCAGTGGCAATAAAGAAACTATCACAGGGCCTACGACTCAGAAGGCAACAAATAAATGACAGCCTTTATTATAATGATGGGCTGGGTACTGAGAAAATTCAGGTAAGATAATCACAATCAAATGAAGACAACAGACATGTAAATAACTACAGCAATGAACTAGAGAATAGTATGAGTAAAGTCTGATGGAAACAGAAAAGAAAAACGAGTTAATTTTGGCTTTGTCAGGGTGACATATGAACCCAACCTTAAAAAATGTGTAAAAGTTCACCAATCAGACATGACAGGAGAAAGGCATGACAGGTAAAGGTAATAGCATGCATCCAAAAACACAGAGGAAAGAAAAACTATGGCACAAAGAATATGTCATTTAGCATGGCTGTAGCAAAAAGCCAATGTGAGACAGTAGAGAAATGTGAGGCTAAAAAAGGTAAGTAAGTCCACAGCAGTATTACCTATAATAATCAAAAAACAGAAACCCAATTGTGTATCAATAAGATAATGGATAAGCAAAGTGTGATGTGTTCATATAATGGAATATTGTTGTTGTTAGCTGCTGTCAAAATCAGTTCCAACTCATGGCAACCCCAGTATGCAGAGGAGAACTGCTCCACAGAGTTTTCAAGGCTGACACCTTTCAGAAGCAGATTGCCAGGCCTGTCTCCAGGGGCACCTCTGGGTGGGTTCGAAACGCCAACACTTGACTGTCTGCACCACCCAGAGACTCATACTACTACTACTCAGTAATAAAAAAAAAACTACTGACACACAAAACATATGGATGAATTACAAACCATTATGCTGAGTGAAAAAAGCCAAATGTGCTTTGGCAAACATGCTACTGGCATCTAGTAGATCGGGGCACAGGACAGCTCCTCACAACAAATAATTATCTCTGTCAATAAAACCAAAACCAAACCAAATCCGTCGCCGTCAAGTCGATTCGGACTCATAGCGACCCTATGAGACAGAGCAGAACTACCCGTAGGGTTTCCAAGGAGCAGCTGGTGGATTCAAACTGCCAACTTTTTTATTAGCAGTCGAGTTCTTAACCACTGCGCCACCAGGGCTCCATCTCTGTCAATAGTGGTTGAATCTAAAGTAAGAAATGATGAGGGTCTATACACCTCATATATGCCACAGTCCAATGTTTTGTGTTCACATATTTTATCACTTTATTACAGAAGTATTTTACAAAAATAAATATTTTATCAAATACTCTACTGTGAAAGATACTGATAATAAGTGACAGCAACCTACTAAATGCTTACTACTGCTAAAGCTAAATGGTAAGCATTCATTCAAAATATTCAAAAAGTATTCATTGAGCACCTACTATTTTTACATTTTAACTGAGGTTAAATGGTTTGTTCAAGGCCATACACCTAGAAATGCCAGAGGCAGAGGTCAAACTCAGGTCCGTGTAGTTCCACAGTTCATGCTCTATCCATTACATTCACACTGGTTTTCTACTTATGAAACTGTCCAGTTTTTCAGGCAATAGACATTTGGTCAAACAGCCAAATCAAATACAGTCAGACCTTACTTTGCACAGTAGTGCAGGGCAGTAAAAATGACTGTGCAAGCCAAAACCATGCAAAGTAATCTTAATAATGAATGGGAAAAGTTACAGTTATTTTGTGACCTTTAAAAATTTTTTTGTCAGAACATTAAAAACTCTCTTACTACTGGTTTTAAATGTATAGGGAAATTAAAATAATACTAAAACTAGTATTTATTTAGTATGCTATAATTTAAAACAGAAACATTGAAAATTAAAGTGTTTCAATACTGGGGAAGCCAGTACAACCTGTACAAGGAAAGGTCATGGAAGCTCCATAGACACTTCCAAACTTCCTGAGGGACTGAATTGCTGGGTGGAGGGCTGTGGGGACCATGCTCTCAGGGAACATCTAGCTGAATTGCCGTAACACAGTTTATAAAGACAATGTTCTGCTTCTACCTTGGTGAGTAGCATCTGAGGTCTTAAAAGCCTGTGAGCAGCCATTTAAGTATTCCACTGGTCTCACCCCTTCGGGAGCAAGGGAGAATGAAAAGAACAGGACACAAGGAAAAGATCAGTCCAAAGGACTAATGGACCACGGCAACCAAGGCCTCCACCAGACTGAGTCCAGTACAGCTAGATGGTGCCCGGCTACCACCACTGACTGCTCTGACCGGGATCACAACAGAGGATCCTGGACAGAGCTGGAGAAGGATATAGAACAAAATTCTAACACACAAAAAAAGAACAGATTTACTGGCCTGACAGAGACTGGAGAAACCCCGAGAGTATGGACCCTGGACATCCTTTTAGCTCAGTGGTAAAGTCACTCTCGAGGTTCATTCAGCCGGGGATTGGACAGCCCCATAAAACAAAACAGGACTAATGAGGCACAGCAGTCCAGGGACAAGGACCAGAAGGAAGGAGGGGACAGGAAAGCTGCTGATAGGCAACCCAAGGTTGAGAAAGGACAATGTTGACATGTCGTGGAGTTGTTAACAATTGTCATAGGGCAATATGTGTACTAACTGTTTAATGAGAAACTATTCTGTTCTGTAAACCTTCATTTAAAGTACAAAAAAAAAAGAATTATCTATGTGAGATCAAATTGACAAGAGCAACTCAAAAGGTTTGATGGGAAGCCTAGGGGGCAGTGAGTTGAAGATAGTGGTGATGGAATAATCTGGAAAAGGATAATGAGAATAGCAGCACAACTGGAAAAACATAATCGATGTCACTGAATTTACAAGTAGAAATTTTTGAAATGGTGTGCCTTTGGTTATGTATATTTTCACCAAAAAAAAAAAAAAGTCCTCCAAGGTTGAGGAAGGAGCATGTTGACATGTCATGGGGTTGGTACCAATGTCATAAAACAATATGTGTACTGACTGTGTAATGAGAAACTATTTGTTCTGTAAACCTTCACCTAAAGTTTTAAAAAAGAAAATTAAAAAAAAAAAAATTTAAAGTGGTTATTTTGTAGGAAAAAAAAAAACTCATCAAGAGTAGTGTGAACAGTGCTTGCCTTCTCCTTGTATAACTTACAATACAAAGTAAGCATCTTTTCTATGCCTTGTTGTTGTTATGTTGTTGGCAGGTGCCGTCGAGTGGGTTCTGACTCAGCGACCCCATGCACAACAGAACATTCCATGCCTTAGTGAATTGTTATACTCCTTTCTAGGCTTGGATCGACTTTCAACATTTTATTCTTTGCACTTTCAGTTCATGAAATATATTTGAGAGTTCCAGTGTCTCCCAAGTGATGTGATGTTTTCTGCTGGCATCACTTCCTCTGGACATCATCTTTTTTATCACACTTTTCTCATTTATGTCGATAAATTTGCCTTCACTAACTTTCTCTAGCTGCATATCTAAAATCTCTTAAATGGCAGCAGTGTCAACATTGCCAGTCAGCTATTTCTTCTATAATTCCATTTACATTTGATTTGACTTTCACTTCCAATATTACTACTTTTTGTTTCTTTGCTTCACTTTTATCTTTGTTGGCCGATTCCTTCTTTGGATTATCTAGTTTTGTAAAATGTCACATGGGTTCCTTACAAGCAAGCAACACAATATGCTTTGCTGCCTATGCATTAAAAGAAAACAGATGTGCAATAACAAATTAATCACTGACAGACTTTGAAAGAAGTGACATGACTGGTCACTGATCATGATGTGCATTTATATGATAGTGATCTATGGACTGAAAGCCTGTACTTTATGTAATTATTCACCATTAATATACCATGGTATCTGAAATCTGAACCATATTGTTGAGGGACTGATGTTACTTAACTGTGGTAACTGAAATTCATGCATACTGAAACTTTGCATAGCAAGGGCAGCCTGTATAAAATTTTCATCTTTAACAACTGCACTTTCAATCCTTTAAAATGGTACTTCTAAAAAAGCTAATCTCAATTCAGCAGAATGCTAGCCAATACATAAGGCAAGAATTTCACTGTGGGTTGCATTTCTAAGATATGTAGCTACCACTGGCTTTTCATTTTTTTTTAATTAATAAATACAAACAACAGTACACCT